ACGACGATGTATTGCGATGTATTACATCGCTGTTACAATAAAAAAGAAACATATTTTTTTATTTTTTCCCTTATTCGTCGAAAGAAGAAAAACAAACAGACAGTGTGCATAGCGTCTATACTATTATGAAACGTTTCTACACCCAGTTTGACAAACAGCAAATACTTTATAAATCACTTTTAGACGTTAATCCTCAACTCTTTGAATTCGATTGCTTCCGTGTAAAGTTAATAAGTCTTATATAAAGATTTTCAAAAACAGAGTAGTTATAAAAAGAAAAAAATCGTTTGGAATTTGTTGATATTCTAAAACAATCCGCGGCAGATCTATGAAGACAAATTTTAAAGAATTTTCTACGACAAACTTGTCTACATTCTGATTTGAAACCTGCAAGTTTCTGTTGCAAACCTGATTCAGATTTTCCTTGGAGAACGTTCACTAAAGATGGTTTGAACTTTTTCAGGAGTATAAGACCGATAACACTTTTCTCATCATTGTGGCAGCAACGATAAACAATAAAATATAACAGATATTTTATTTACGCAAAGTGAGAAGCATCAAAGATCTCTGACGTATAATAACAATAATGACTCAAGCCAAACATAAAAAAGATAGCGATAAATAAACAGAAGACAGCGTAAGATAGAAAGATAAAATATCATAATTTTGAAATTAAGAAAGCTCCTAAGGAAGAGACGCAGCGGGTTATAGGAAGCCAGTCTCTCTTCCGAATAAGTATACATTTTACATACATATATGTCAGCGTCCAATGTGGGATTCAGTCCAATATAAGATTGGCCTAGGCTAATGTGGAATCCGAGTTTGAACTAGTCGATACTAGGATCCCACTTTGGCCTAGAGTTTTTACAGTTCAAAGTTGGATGACAATATGAACTAGATTATTGGACTGAAAAAGTTAGTCCAAACTAATCAAACTGTATTTTCCTCAGGCCAATGAAAGATTGTATTGACGAACGAAGATTGTATTGTGTACGTATACACCAATACGTACACATGTAGCTAAAATAAAAATATTTTTTCTCTTGTACAATCAATATCCGCACTATATTTTAACGTCAGACAACGTTGTGATGGATGATAATAGTTTAATTATTCCTGATACTGATATTCTTACGCATCAAGGTGGGGATATTATAATTAGTCAAAATGATGACAATAACCAAGCGTTGCAAAATGAAACGCTTGTTCATGCAAAGATGTCCATGCAAGAAAAATAAATTGTTTTATTTTACAAAATGTTATAAAAACAAAGTATATTGTGGTAATGAAAGTATTGCAGCATGAGAAATTAAAGTATTATATTTAGCTACTTTTCTGTAAAATTCATGCATTTTTCATGAAAAATCTAAACCTGAAGAATATATTCAGAATCAATGGTGCTAGCTGCTATTACTTTTATCCCATATTGGCCCGAGCAAAATATAGTTTGATTAGTTTGGACTAACGTTTTCAGTCCAGTCTCAGATTCAACTGCAATGTTTTCTTCACTCCCACGTTGGACTAGTTCATACTATCATCCGACTTTGGACTGCTAGGCCAAAGTGGGATTCTAGTATGGACTAGTTCAAACTTGGATCCCACATTAGCCTGGGTCAATCTCAGATTCGACCGAATCCCACATTGGATGCTGACATATGCATATTTGTCTTTAATTGATAAAAGTAAAAATAAAGAGTAATGAAATATTTATTTACTTTTGACAAGAGCAGCCCCCCTTCATCGCTACATTCCTGGAAAAGAGAAGAATAAGGTGACATAAGAAAATAAAAGGAAACATTAAAAAGCGTAAAGACCTGTAATAACTGTGAGTGGTGATGGTCCAACAAAAGAGACATTAATATAAGTAACTTAAGTATCATATTCTACTACCAGGTGGTGGTATGTCAACATAATATAATGCTCTGATTTGTATCTAATAAAAAATTACAAGTGTTAAGGTAGAAATAAACAAAGAAAAAGTACAGTATGACATTAAATTGGGGCAACATCTGTTTATAGAGTATACGCTGTCTCTTCAAAAACAACATCAGTCATTTCGCGTGAGCCCACTTCTGACTTGATCTTAAAAAGAGAGCTGTTAATAAAAAAGGTAAGCACGGAGTTTTCGGATATGCTATTTTATAGCAGAAAGATGACTCTTTCATGCTGAAGCTTTCCCAATTTTTCAAGTCAAGTAGATCGAGTGCAGATGAGCGTTACCTTGTAGCAGTTTGTTTGTTTTTTTTAATTTTTTTTTCTATCTAATAATAAGTAAAACAAATACGTCCATCTTTTGTACCGAAGCCATTATCCAATCCTCTTTGTCTAAAACTATTGTTGAGCGCTTTATACAACCAAACTGAATAACTCGATCTTTTATTATTGTTTGTAACAATGGACACAAGGTCTGAATTACATGTATTGTATACTAAAAGCGTAAAAAATTCGCACTCTTGATTTATGTGCATTGGTGTATCACAAACCGTTTTGTGACGCGTCACGTATTTGCAGAAAAATCGTATACCGCGCCAAGTAAAACAAATACTTGTCATATCAGACCTCTGCTTGAAAATGTGAATTTTCATAGATATTTCGTCAAGTAATTTTTACATATTATTTTCTAGAATTACTTAGCAAGTATTTGGCAAGTGACCATGAGAATACAAGTGAGCAACCGATCCTGTGACGACTGAATGTGTGTGGAAAGGTGTGCACCCTCCTGTTTTGAAGAAAATTCTCATTAAATACCTTTTATCCCAGAAATTTTGACCTATATTATAAAAATTTAATAGTATATCGACAGAGTCGTGACGACAGGGGGATGTAGGGGAGTGTATGCCCCTCCTGCTTCTTGAATTTATTACGTTCTCCTGCTCATAAACCTGCACATTCACTACGGTGGTCTTGTCTAGACTGAAATAATTTAATTGGATTGTATAAAGTATACAATGACTCAAGTGATTGACCTCAGACGAATAATCTTTTACATGTATATGTGTCAACAATGTAATTAAAGCCGATATCGTTTCCTATTGTTTTTCCTTTGTTATGTCAACAACAAGGATATGTTCTTGTACTTTTGATTACGAACTACCTTGTAAAACACATCTATCGTCATAAACATTGTTTTAAAGGAATGAATGCAAATATAATCATGCTTTGTCAGTTAAACGATTTATTTTTCTTTACTATTTTTTCAGATATATTTTGTCGTACACTTTGGTGCTTGTTTTCGTATTATGGATAACAGTGATTCAACAAAATCCCATTATAACCTTCGAGCGTTGTTGTCAACTCGTAAAAAATGCTTTGATTTTCTACAAAATAATCAAATATTGGCATCGAACAACAATGCAATAGGAATAGCAACAGGATTATCAAAATCTTCTGAAAAAGACTGTTCTAATACATCTAAACATTCATCATCATCTTCATTGCCAAAGAAATTAAATATTATATCTCAAGATAATAATGCCAGTGATTTAAGTGTTGCTCCATCACAGAAAATTCACATCTATGCAGATTTTCTGCATACAACATCCAGTTTACCTTCAACATTTTCATCAAGTATACGATCTTATTTTGATACATCACACGAGACAGGTTCAAACTCGGGTCATGAAAGTAGTAATACATCATCATCAGGAATATCATCTAGAACTAGTAATAATTCAAATAAAAGTGAAGATTCAGATTTAAGTGAAATTGATTTTTCAATTGGTTTCACAGATGGAGAAGATAATATACCAAATTTAGATGATATTAATGCAGAAGATGAAGAACAAATTCTTCAAAAAAATGCTGGTAAGTATATATGTCTAGATTTATATTCCAACTTAAATAATTAATATTCGATAATATTTATTTAATTGTATGAAAAATGTGACTATAGAATGTAAATACATTTTATCATATTCATTTATTTTTTTTTTTACAGATACATTAACGATAATTGGAAATGAAAATAGTAACAATAGATGTATAGAAGATTTTGACGATTTGTTAAATAAATACGATCCCGATAATGAAGATGATGAAGATAGCAGTAGCAGTGGAAAACAAACAACAGGCTTTTTAAATTCACTCAGTTCATCCACAAATACTTTATATGCTGAGCATTTCTCATTATTTACTGAAGGTGAAGATCAGGAAGCAAATGGACTTTGCCGTTCGAATTCATTAAAAATTATACAACCAATTGATAAAAAATTTTCAGAAAAAGCACCGAAAAAAGTTGTACGATTTGCTGATGTAATGGTAAGACATGATAGAATAAGTCATAGTTAAAATTAAATTTATTTCTTTGTTTAGGGTCTCGATTTAGAATCCATTCGCTATATGACACCTCCAGGCACATCAGTAACATTATTAATTACCGATTGTATTAAAACAAGATTAGAACAACTGAAATTAATTCGAACAAGTTTAAAATCATCTAACAGTGATCCTAATTTAATAACAATTAATAATAATAATAAATCAGATCTTTATCTTGTATCAGAGCCATTTTTTTCACCCACAAATATTGTCCAACAAGTTTATGAACGACAAGTAGTCTTGGAATGTTTATATATAAAAGATATATCAGCTTATGGAACGGTTCGAGTTAATAATTGTTCATTTAATAAAAAAGTATTTGTTCGTTCTACAATCGATCAATGGGAAACATACAACGATATACAGGCCATGTATAATTTACACAATTCTAATGATAACACTGATTCATTTACATTTGAATTAACAATACCAGACAAATTGTTAAAAGATGACACATTAGCACAACAAAATACAACTATTTTTTTCGCAGTATATTATCAGGTGATGGGAAAGGAGTATTGGGACAATAATTTTGGTTCGAATTATTTTTTGAATATTCTTAAACGGTAAGAAGAAAAGTCGAAAATATTAACGGGATGACCTGTAAAGAACGAGTTAGAATCATTTCCTTTTTTTTTTGAGCACTTTCTTATAATTTGGAGATTATAGGAAACTTCCCGAGTTGAAGACTCCATTCTAAGCTCAGTCGATAAGTTAATTTTTCGCTCTACAAGGCTGTCGATTTGGATAAAAAATTTCCTTTAGACTAATATTTAAAACATCAACTCATATTCAATGTTTCTACGGCTTATTTTTCCTCTTTAAAAAAATATTTTGCATCTCAAGAGCAACTTCTTTCAGACACATCAGTAACATTATTATATCAAACGATAGAGAATTTTATCGTCTACCGATCTGATCGATTTCGGAAGTTTCAGACGTAGTATTTAAATTTAAAAAATGGTTGAAATTATTTTGTTGCAGTGTTTTTTTCCAGTAATTAAGAAGACATTTCAACTGACGTGAAATGCACGTGAGATCTGCACGGGTACGAGAAGTCCCGTGACCGCGGGTGTGCCCGTTCATGCTTAAAGACACGGGTAGGTTTGAGAAAGACACGGACGGGCAACTGCTCCCGTCGATGAGCACGGATTTTTAAAAAAATATTTTAAAGTTTTTGAGCAGCAAATGGTACGAAGATTTGAATTTTTGAATTGAAAATTTTTTTTCTGCACAGGCACGGACAAGCACGAGCAGCGAAAAAAATCCAAGGACGGCCACAGGCAAAAAAATCTTGCTCGTGCAGATCTCTACATTTCAAGCTTTTGAATAGAGACTTAGTTCCAAATTTTTTTTATTTTGGCATTTGCAAAGGAAGAATTTAATTCTGAATAGGCCCATATGATTAGTGAGTTGCACGTTGAAGTTTTCAGGAGATATTCGTTGAAAAATGCACAAGAACAGAGATCAGAACCGAAAACTCAATTTTTTCACGCTTAGGACTCTTTTTTACGTAAGAATTTTTATACAAGACTTTGCTCTAAAACTACGTTGCATAGGTCAGAAAAAGCAGAATTTAGTGTAGAATTTTATGATATATTTGGAATTTTCGGGAAACTTACGTTCAGTATGTGTTGATGTTTTAAATATTATTTTTAAAGAAATTTTTTGTTCAATAATCCAACTTGACAGTCTTGCAGAGCGAAAAATTCTCTATCGAATGGAGTCTACAAATTATAGGAAACTGTTCGAAAAAAAAGGAAATGATTCTGGTCCGTTCTTTACGGTCCAACGGTTAATTAGAGAACGTTGAAGAAAATTAATTGTTTTCTTATTAGTTGCCATCGTTTTTTTTTTTTTATTTTTATTGTTTGTATTAAATAACTGTTGCATTTGTTTTACAAACAATTACTAAATACTTCACTATGCTATTGATTGAGATATCTTTCTGTAAATTAATTTGTCTGCCATCACACTGGGACCAGGTATAAACGTTATTATGCTTTTTTTTCTAATTTTGCATGTAGTTAATATTAACAATCTTATTTTGCTCTAGGCGGTGATTGACTGGTTTATTAACAGGTACGATAAATCCATAGAATATAATTGTCTAATATTTATTTTTACCATTTTATAGAACAAATCGAGCAAAATCTGAACAAAATTTCAATGAATTTCGAACTAAAATCCGACAAATTTGCCGACAAAATACCAAAATTTAAGCTATTTTTGCATAATGGGATGCATTATATACTATTTCATGTTCTTTCATTATATATTTTTCTATTTGTAATTTTAACCTATTGATTATATATTTTTTAAACCTTAAATGTAAATATATGACTATGCAACTATGTTTAACATGTTGCTTTTAAATTTGCGCAAGGACGAATAGCCGTTTCTTTTCTTTTTTTCTCATTTTATTAAACTCACTCAACAACAGCAAAGTCAATTTATTTTTTATTTTTTATTTATATTATAGTTGCTGTTATAAAAATTTTTGTTCTCTAAAAATAGTTTTTGCTCTCTTATCAACTTTTGTTTGCTCAAATTAAAAAGAATGTTATTATTGTTATTATCTATTTATTACTAGTATTATTAGAGATATCAAACTCTTGTTTCTTTTTTTGTAAATACGAAATGTAAATAGTAGACAAAAACAGCAAAATAAAGCATGTACAATCAATATTTTGTCATTTTGCCTGAACGATTTTTTCTTCTTTTTATGTTTAGCCTTTTTGCGTCTTTATGTTTACTGTGTTTGGATTAAAAAAAATGTTTCTACTGCCAGTCCCCGTGAGACAACTCTATTGTCTTTTGAAAATAAAATATGATTTTTTTTTAATGTTAAAGTCCATTTTAGTTCATCCAGAAAATATATTAAATTTCCATTAGAATTTAAAATGTCGATAATTTACTGATGGTTATGATAGAAACCAGAGTTCAAACCGGACCGAATTTGATTTTTGAAATACGAATCAATCGTTCAGTTAAAACGCTTTGATCAAGTTAAGCTACAATGACATTGTATAAAATAATAAAAGCACCATCTAATAAAAATGTTGTCCTTTTTTTCTGTTATAACGCTCAGAAACATATAATTGCGTTAGAACGACGAACATATAGTATGTTATTAAGATATCTAATCCAAATTCATTTTCAACGATAGAATTTTTGAGAGCACTAGAATGGATGTCGAAAATAATAAATAGAAAGACTAATTATGTGAACAAGACATTTTTTGTTTATATTCTTCTCTTTGTCTTTTTGTTTTATTTCATGTTTCAAAGTTCTAGTCACATAAATGATATGTTCTGCTCAAGTGTTCCAGCTCGAAGCAGTATATTTGGAAACAAAAGAGAAGCAACCTTTCATTTTCATTGAACTGACCCGAATCGATTCGAACCGATTCAGGATTTCCTGATTCATTTCGGGCTCTGACAGAAACTCTGCGAAAAAAAAAACTGGCAAAAAATAGGGCAAATTTTCCTTAGGTATTTACCGTAAATCAAATCCATAAGAATTTGAGTAATTATTAACGAGAACATTTGTCTCTTATTACCAGTCATCCCATTTTGTTAAATAAGATTTTGGGCTGAATTTTGACTTTTTCTTTGGAGGAAAATTACTAATTTTTAAAAAAATATCTATAAATGGATTCTATTTGTGATTGAAATTAACATATTTTAGCCGCGAGGCTTATAATCCCAGAACCGTTCACTATTTTGAATTGTAATTTTTACCATAGATTACTCTTATCATAATCCTTGATCTTCGTAAATTGTATTCATATCGTTTGCATGATGTGGGGAAAAAAGACCTTTGCACACGTGGAGATCCTGAAAGTCATTTGTCTAGAATGAGAGGATAGTTGTATCTATTATTAGCCCGAAGCTTACTAATATATACTTTTGTCTATTATTAGAACTGAAAAGGCAGTATATTCCGCATTTATTATGAACAAAAATATGTTTCCAAAAGAGAATAATAACTCGTGCAGGTTGCCGAAATCATTAATTATTTTAAAACCCAATCAGTTCTAACAATTGTGTTTATCAGACAGTAAGTTAAACTTTATTGGTTTTCCGATGATGTAAACTTTATGCTTCAAGATTAAAACAACCAATTCAAGTTTTTTCTTCCAGAAAAATTGTTTCGTTGATTCGCGTTGTCAGAACTTCTCCTGTTCTGTACAGCTACAACTTTCTCTATAGGAAATTTTTTCCTAATTCTCGTATGAACATGGAATCAATAATAAGCTTTTATCATGTTAATAAAGTCTTTGCTGTTTATTTCTTTGAACCCCCAGTAGAGCAGAGAAGGTTAATTGTACTTTTTGATTAAAACAATGTCTGTGTAATGGTTATCAGCTGTTTACTGTTAAATAAAAGATTCATTATTATACTTTCATGACAACAGAGAAACTAGTAAATTCAAGAATATGTTTAATATGTGCATTTATTATAATTTGTAGTGGTGTTTACATATGTTTGTCATTTTTTTAATATTGGATCTTGAAGTAAGTCGAAAGGACGAGAAACGGTTTCTGCAAGAAAATGATTCAATATGATTTTGAGTGAAAACGATCGGAAATGCTTCCTTTTTCACTTCCCAACACTTTTGACTTTCAAAAACTGCTGTTGATCTCCTTGGAAAAAATATTTATCATTTTTTGTGCCAGTTCAACGAAGGCCGTTAACCTTGTTCCTCAAATTTTTCGTACGAATTCAAAGAGCTTGGCCAAAGCCCATGCACAGAACGATAGAGAATTCTTCGGACTTCAAAATAAGCTATAAATAAGCTTCTCAAAGATTTGCCCATATAGAACAATTATCAAAATACTCGACAGATATCATGATTTTTACTTATTTTAGGGCTTTAAAAGAACATTTCTTCCATATATCTGCTCAAAAACGGAATGTTTTATATACAGGAAGACGGAGAATTTTCTGGGCTTCAAAATGCACTACAATATTTTGTTTTAAACATTTGCCCTCACAGATTTATTGGCTAAATACTAGATAGATATCTCGATTTTTACCCATAGTGGTATATGAAAATGATTACAGTTTCTTTTACAATTACAGATTAGAAATAGTTTGTACTCAGAAAAATGCAGAATTGAGAGGGCTACAAAATAAGCTATAGTGCGTTGTTTCAAACTTTAATTTTAATAGACTTATTAGCAAAATACAGAACGGATGGATACAGTGGTTTTGACCTATGACAGAAAAGTGAATGCTGTAATACACAGTGCTAGACCCGGAATGACTCTCATACAAGAAAATGGTAGTTGTGTTGTAAAACTCTATACTGCATATACTCTCATCATTTTAGCACTTCTGATAAATTTACTATATCGTAAAATAACCTCAAAAAAGAAAACAAAGCTCTGATCTTCTAGTGTGAAAAAGTAAAAAAATAACGTTTTTTGTTCAACTGATTACGTTCCAACTTATTATGATTGAAAAACTATTTACTCTACATTATTTATGGGTTTGAGAATATAACATATTTTTCTTTTGAATTAATATGCATCACAAAAATAGAATGTAATCCTATTAGTCTCA